TGGGCAAGTCGTTGCTGTTCGTACAGTCGAGGCCCGGACCCGATGTGTACTTGTCCAGCGCCGACGGGTCCGGATGTTTGCACAGCCATAGCACCAAATGTTGGGCAAATTTGGACGCTTTTTGCGTAAATGGCTTTAAGACACTCTCGATCTAATTTGTTGTCATTTTGTTTGTTTAATTGAGTATATGGTATGAAATTAATTATTACAATAAGGTATCATTTTAGACCTTGATGGCGTGCCTTTTCTCCGGATAGTCTATTTTGAATATTTTACACCAATTGAATGTTTTAGTCTTGAGATTTATCTGTAAATTATGTGTTTATTATTTTATTGAAATCTATTTCATATGACATTTAAATGTTTGCCAAACCTTTGCTATTAAATCCTTTTCGGTTTCGTTAATACAATTAATAGATATTATATTTATCGCTAAATTAATAACAATTAACACTAATAATAATTTTGACATTTTAAAAATAAAATACTATTTCACTATTAATAGTGAATAACTAGTAATTAATTGAATGTTTATTTGACCATTTCAAATGAGAGCACAAATATGGAGTACAAAGTTTGTAATAACTTAATTAAATTTAGTATATTATATACAAGTAAGTATATTTCTCATAATATTTACCATCATATTTTTATTTAGTTATATTATACAACAGTTTAAAATAACCTGCCAATTAACTAATTAATTTCAACAGTAATAAATCCAACTTTATTTAAGTGCTTGATCATATAATTTATATTGTTTACTATTATACTACTATTGTATTTATTAAATTAAAGTATTAAATATTAGATCTAACTTAAAATTGTTTGCAATCCTTAATTTGATTCATGCTTTAGCCCAGATTACTCTGGGTCCACCTCTAGTAGGGTAGTAAGCCCTATTTGGGTACATTCCCTTATATTCCCTGTGACCATCTCCATCTTTATCCCTATCTTTATCCCTATCCAAATCGCTGTCTCTCTTTTTGTCTCTATCTCTATCCTTATCTCTATCTCCATCTCGATCCGTGTAATTATAAAAACTATCCCGGTTATACTTGTAATCACTGTTCCGATAAAGATTATCCCTATCACCACTACTGTTATACCTATATTCCCTGTCTCTATCGTTATATTTATCATGATTTCTAACTTGATCTCTATCCCGATCCCTATCCCGATCCCGATCTCTCTCCCTTTCCCTCTCTCTATCTCTATCCGTATCCCGAACAGAACTATATCGGTCTCTATCCCGATCATTATCCCAATCCCTATCCCGATCATAACGATCACTACTGGGATAAAACGAGTCCCTATAGCTGTCTCGATCGGTGTAACGCTTCCTTCTCTTCAGTGCTCTACGCGTTGTATTATTACGGCTTTGTTTGTCGGCTAACCATAACTTGAAGCCCACGACAGCGTCTTTGCCAATAGACTTGTTGTCGGCGACATTGATGTGTGTCCTAAGCATAAGGTATTTAACGTATGGATTGTTGGTTAGGGTATTGTCTCGCGTGTAATCCATGTCTAACATGTGGTCCATATTATTGTCATCAATAAGTGGGTGAAAACATGAGCGGTAGTCGACAGGTATTTCAACCGTATTCGTACAGTCAATGCCCGCGTCGTTGAGGTATTTGTTGAGCGCCGACGGGTCCGCGTGTTTGCATTGCCATAGTTTTAAGTCTTGCGAAAAGTCTACATATTGTGCCTTTTTGGCCGATTTGACTGTATTTTCAATCTACAACATTTTAAATTAATATTTAGCGAAATCTCTACACAATTACAGCTGTAACTTATAAATTAATAATAATAGTGATATTTTGCATACCTTTACCACAAGCTTGTTTTGCGGGTAACTGACCATAAATATTTTACACCAATGAAATGCATTTGCCTTAAGATTTATCTGTTTAAAAGTTTATTATTATCAATATTGATATGATTGGTATACGATTTAATGAATACACAAACCTTTGCAGTTAGATCATATAACTCTATTTTATTTTTACCATGTATTGACAATACGTTTACAATCAAATTTATAATGATTATTTGTGTTAATATCATTATAAACACAATTATCTAAATTATATACAGTACTAATAATTAGCTCTATAATTCATGTTTAATTTAAATTACATGTTTATTTGATAATTTTATAGCAGTTAATTAGTCCAATACGGTCTAATATAAAGACCATATTTTTATGTTAAACAGTATTATTAGTTACAAATAAACTTAACCATAATTTGCAATCAATTATATCATTAATAATTATATTTTTATATACTGTAATACAACTATATAATTATTTATTAATATACATATTGTCGTTGTTGTATTAAATATCCATCACAATAATGAATAACTAATTTTGCTTTAATCTCTGTAATTTTTAAATAAATTAAGAATGTTTTTAAATAAGTTTCTTACACTTTAATTAAATAATACAAAACATTTAATATGTAAAATATAAATACAAACAGTTTTAATTCTGCATATTTTTAAATTCATACAATATAAGTATGCACAAAATTCAATATATTTTATAAATTAAATTATTTTACAATATACATTATTAATTGTGCACAATGTTCACCATGTTAATTTTTTGGTTCCTTAATTGTGTTTTTCCAAACACCCTAGAGCATTCGCAATCTTTTTTCCCTTTCCCACTCACTCTCCCCTTCCCTAACCCTATCCCTATCCCTTTCTCTCTCCTTTTCTCTCTCCTTTTCCCTCTCCCTTTCCCTATCCCTTTCCCTCACCCTTTCTCTCTCCCTTTCTCTCTCCCTTTCTCTCTCCCTTTCTCTCTCTCTTTCTCTCTCCCTTTCTCTATCTCTCTCCCTATCTCTACTGTCGTCTCTATCCCTACTCCTGTCTCTATCTCTATCCCTATCCCTCTCATCCCTGTATCGATCTGTGTCTTTGTCTCTATACCGGTATTCACGTGAATCACTATCTCTTCCATCTCTATGTCGGCTATAATTATTGCTGTAATCCCTATCGTAGTCTCGATAACCACCCGAACGGTAATTCCTATCCTTATCCTTATCACTCTTGTATCGGCCGCTGTCTCTGTCTTTGTCCCAATAGTCGCTATTGCGTGACGAGTGCTCTCTTTCATACCGATCACGACTGTCGCGGTCGCCGTCGGGATCGCGGTATCTGTCGGCCAAATGTGACGGCAAATATCTATTGGGATAATTGACGTACAGAACGGGCCGGTCGTCGTCCACACTCTCATACATAGAGCACCGGATCCTCTTTCGCGAGTACCGCAGTATCTCCTGCGCGTCGGACCGCCAGTCAGTCTTATCGTACAAATATTCAGACAGTTTTTTGCGATTGTACTGACGGCTGATAAGTCTCGGCTGATTTGAGTACCAATAGCTGTTGTAATGGTAACCATGAGTTAGTTTTCACATTAATAATTACAACATGATATGCGCCAACACATACCCGGCCAACTCTGAGTCCACACCGGACACGTTCATCAGCGCTCTCTCCGTTAGGCCACTGAAACAGGTTTGCGGCAAAAGTCTGCTGTTATAAGTGCGCGGATAATACATGAAGAATGTCAGACACGTCTCCTCCTCTATCTCTAAACTCTTAATCGATAGAAAAATATATATTAATTAATTCGCAAATTTGTGGATCAATTCATGGTATCATTACGTCGGCCAATAGGGTTCGTCTGGCGGTAGTCGTATCGTAAGTGCATTCAGTGGTGATCACGTCATTCGGCAAAATCTTGATATATCTCTTTAACTCCTTATACCTCATGGAATCGTTACCATGGTCACTCACATCCAGAATCTTTGACAACTCTTCGTTGCCGCGGAAATGTCTCGTCACAAGCTTTCGGCCTATTATTATCGTAAAGTTTTGCATACATTAAAACCATACAGTTATTAATGGGTCGGATAGAGAGAGAGAGAGA